ACCAAATCAAAGATTCAATTCCCTTCAAAATAGCAATAAAGAAAATAAAGTACTCAGGAATATATTTAAGGAGGTAAAAGACGTCTACAGGGAGAACTATGAAACACTGAAGAAGGAAATAGCAGAGGACATAAACAGATGGAAGAATATACCATCCTTTTGGGTTGGCAGAATCAACATTGTTAAAATGTCTATACTACCCAGAGTGACCTACAGAGTCAATGCAATCCCTATTAAAATACCATCATTGTTTTTCACAGATATAGAAAAAATAGTTTTATGCTTCGCATGGAACCAGAGAAGACTCCGTATAGCAAAATTAATCCTAGGCAATGAAAACAAAATAGGAGGTATCAATTTACCAGATTTCAAACTATACTACAAGGCCATAGTCATTAAAACAGCTTGGGACTGGCACAAGAACAGGGACATTGACCAGTGGAACAGAACAGAGAACCCAGATATAAAACAATCCTCATATAGCCAACTAATCTTCGACAAAGCACACAAAAAAATACACTGGGGAAAAGAATCTTTATTCAATAAATCGTGCTAGGAAAACTGGATAGCCACATGTAGAAGACTGAAACAGGACCCATGCCTTTCACCTCTCACAAAAATCAACTCACGCTGGGTAACAGACTTGAACATTAGGTGTGAAACTATTAGAATCCTAGAGGAAAATGTTGGAAATAGTCTTCTAGACATTGGCCTAGGAAAAGAATTTATGAAGAAGACCCTAAAGGCAATCACAGCAGCAACAAAAATAAATAATGGGACCTGATCAAATTCAAAAGCTTCTGACAGCCAAGAAACTGTCAAGAGAGCAAACAGACAACCCACAGAATGGGAGAAAATTTTCGCAAGCTACACATCCGATAAAGGGCTGATAACTAGAATTTATTTAGAACTCAGAAAAATCAGCAAGGAAAAATCAAACAACCCTACCAAAAAGTAGGCAAAGGACATGAAAAAATGTTCAACATCTCTAATCAGCAGGGAAATGTAAATCAAAACTGCAATGAGATATCACTTATCTCCAATAAGAATGGCCTTTATCAAAACGTCCCCAAAAGGCCGGGCGCGGTGGCTCACGCCTGGGAGGCGAGGCGGCGGATTGCTCAAGGTCAGGAGTTCAAAACCAGCCTGAGCAAGAGGCGAGACCCGTCTCTACTAATAATAGAAATAAATTAATTGGCCAACTGATATATAATAAATATTAGCCGGCATGGTGGCCATGCCTGTAGTCCCAGCTTGGGAGGCTGGGGCAGAAGGAATCGCTCGAGCCCAGGAGTTTGAGGTTGCTGGTGAGCTAGGCTGACGCCACCCGCACTCACTCTAGCCTGGGCAACAAAGCGAGACTCTGTCTCAAAAAAAAAAAAAAAAAACACGTCCAAAGAACAAATGCCGGTGTGGATGTGGAGAGAGAGGAACACTCCTACACTGCTGGTGGGACTGCAAACTAGTGCAACCTCTGTGGAAAGCAATATGGAGATACCTCAAAGCCGTACAAGTAGATCTACCATTTGATCCAGCAATTCCACTACTGGGCATCTACCCATAAGATCAAAAGTCACTTTATGAAAAAGACACCTGCACTCGAATGTTTACAGCAGCACAATTCACAATTGCAAAGCTATGGAAACAACCCAGGTGCCCATCAATTCATGAGTGGATTAATAAAATGTGGTATATGTATACCATGGAATACTACTCAGCTTTAAGAAACAATGGTGATATAGCACCTCTTACATTTTCCTGGATAGAGCTGGAACCCATTCTACTAAGTGAAGTATCTCAAGAATGGAAAAACAAGCAACACATGTACTCACCAGCAAATTGGTATTAACAGATCAACACCTAAGTGGACATATAGGAAAAACATTTATGGGGTGTCGGGAGGGTGGGAGGGGAAGGAAGGGATGGGTATACACAAACATAATGAGGGAGATATGCAACATTTGGAGGATGGTCACGCTTGAAAGTCTGACTAGAGGGAGGAAGGGGGACATGGGCAATGTATGTAACGTTAACATTTGTACTCCCATAGTATGCTGAAATTAAAACAAAAAAGAGAGAATGAGGTTAGCACCCAGGGAGGGAACACCCCCCATCCCACCCCCGCCCCCGCCACATACCATTCTCTGACCTCTGGGAGGTGAGGGCAGCAAGGGTTGGGCACCACCTGGTGGCCATAAACTACACTACATGCCACCATCCACTTCCCCTGCTTTCTCCCTGCCACTGCTCCTTGGCCACAATACCCCCTCACACACAGCTGATCCTAGCTTCTTCTCTAGGGCCCCAACCCACTTCATGCTTACCATGCCTACACCCCACAACAGTCCTGCACAGACTGAAGATGGAGACCCTGTCCTCCTGAGTCTCCTTCCTCCATTGCAGAGAAAAAGCCCTTGGAGGGGAGTCAGACAGGCAGGGCTCACATCCTGACAACAACAACAAAAAAGAGATACCACAGGGGACAGGCAGGTGCAGGCCCTGCTCAAGCTGCAGTGACGCAGCGGAGGGTCCTGGAGGCTCCCTTTTTGCGGAGCCTTCCTGAGGAGCGCGCTGCTGACAGCGTGCGGGCACCTGGGTGCGTTAGTCACCTCACTAAGGTAAGTGCTGCGGGAACGACTGTGGCCTCATGTCATGGAACTACGCGCCAGAGCACAGCTGTGTGGACAGCACCCTTCACTCCTGTCTCCTTCTCTGTCCCCCCAGGGGACTTCAAAGTTTTCTTTATATATAATAAATTGCACCCATTTTCTTCTAAGTTTATTCCTAGGTGTTCTATCTTGTCTTTTACTATATTTTTTGGTTGCTCATTATTTTATTTTATTTTATTTTATTTTTTGAGACAGAGTCTCGCTTTGTTGCCCAGGCTAAAGTGAGTGCCGTGGCGTCAGCCTAGCTCACATCAACCTCAAACTCCTGGGCTCAAGCAATCCTCCTGCCTCAGCCTCCTGAGTAGCTGGGAATACAGGCATGCGCCACCATGCCCGGCTAATTTTTTCTATACATATATTAGTTGGCCAATTAATTTCTATTTATAGTAGAGACGGGCCTTGCTCTTGCTCAGGCTGGTTTCGAACTCCTGACCTCGAACAATCTGCCTTGGCCTCCCAGAGTGCTAGGATTACAGGCGTGAGCCACCGCGCCCAGCCTCATTGTTTCTTATGTATAGAAAGATCATTGATTTTTGTGTAGCAGTTTGCTGCCCAGTCACATCCCTGGGCACAATTCTCTTAATACTTACCAGTTTTAGAAGAAATTCTCTTGGCATTCCCTACCAACGATTAAACCTGCAAATGACATCAGCGGCCTCCTTTCTGACCTGGTGTGTCTCATCTCTCCCCCTGTCCACTGGCTCCAGAGGCCCCTCCCGCGATGCTCCATGCAGCTGTTGATGACAGTTCTGGGCTCCTCCTTACCACGGGTTGCTTCTGGCTTGAGACAGAAATACACTGTCATGTTAAACAAGCGCCCATCTCTTCCTGCGCTGTTATGTCCATAGGCTCTGGTGTTTCCCTCAAGGGCCGATGTGGAGTCTCACTGGCTTTGCTCTGGGTACCCAGGCGTCAGAGGTGATGACAGCCCTGGTCCCTGCTGCCACAGTTCTTCTGGATAAATGAGTGGCACCAACACTCATCACACATCACCACGTGGCAGTTTTGCACTAGTCAGCAGGCGACTGCCCTGAGCAGCCAGCAGGCAGGCAGCACCCTCCTGCTGGAGACAAGCGCTGCCATGAGAGGTGTCCTGTGCCAGGTACAGACCAGCCGGAGGGATGGGTGGGGGAAAGAGGCTGGGGGGAAGCGTGGCTCCAGCAGCAGAGCACACTGACCTTTCTGGGCATTTTCATAAAGACGATTCCAAAGCAGCTGCTACAGAATCAACTTCCAAGACTGAAAATATAAGCGCTATCCAGAGACACAGCCAGGCCCGGCCCTTGCTGCCCTCTGGGGCTCCAGCAGTCCTCATATCCTCTCCTGGCCCGCCTGAGGGTGCCCACGGGGCCCACCCAGACCGAGAGCATGTCACACCTGCCTCCAAGCTCTGGGGTCAGTCTGGATCTCACGTGCGCAGAACACGAATGACCGCGGCTCCTCTCCTCATGCTGATTCTGGAGAAGGGTGGCTTTGGGGTCAACCAAACTGTAAGGAGGATCTGGCTGACCAAGAGGGATAGGGTGGGGGTTGGGTTTTCCCCACCTGGAATCACCTCAGGAAGAAAGTTGTCTTGTCTGGTCATGTATGTCAGCCTGCTCAGAGTTCAACACACATTCATTTACATGTATTTTTGTGTATCTTTTGGGCGTAGGCACAGGCCATGGGAGAATGAGAACAGCTATAAGCACGTCCAGGAGGATCCAGGTTCTGATCTAGTTCTACCTGAGCTCTGCTTGCACTCCCGCCGCACTCTCCAAACCCAGCCCCACAGAGCGGCTGACCCGCCCACCCCACCGGACCCTCCTCCAGTCTGGCAAGCTGCCCCCCAAAGACCAGAAGGTAGGTAACGCTGCCTTTCCTTCCCATGGTTTCCCTTGGTGTTCAATAAGCTCTGAATGGTTATAACCTTCTAATTTTGCATGTATTTAAAAACTAATTTACAGGATTCTCTGTTCCAGTATGCCTAGATTTTTACCTAAGCATAAAATTAACAATTTAAAAGATGAAAAAGATAAGAGTATCCATTCTATTTAAGGTTAAAAGTTTTTAATCACAAAAGGGCCGACAGTTGTTGGATTGCCTCAATCTTTTTAAAGTAATTACTTACCAACGTGGCTGATTTGTAAGAGCTTGTTAAATTTGCAGTGCGGTTATTTTTCTTTTTAACTAAGCACCCACTGTGTTAGTTATCTACTGCTGCATAAGAAATTACCATACATTTTAAGGCTAAAAAAAGGTGAGTCGGGAACCCTTGCACAGCTGGGCTGGGCCCCCTGCAAGTGCCCTCTCTCAGGCTGCAGTCAGTGTCACCCAGGCCTGGAGTCTCACCTGAGGCCTGACACAGGAAGGACCTCCTTCTCAGCTCATTCGCAGGTGGTTGGCTGGATTCACTCCCTTCTGGCTGTGGCTGACTTTGGGCCAGAGGCCCCCTTGATTCTCTGCACATGGATTATCTCCCAAGGATGTGGCTTTCTCCGGGGGGCCAGCAAGGAAAAGCCTGTCAGCAAGATGGAGGCAGAATGTTTCTGGTCTCATCAGGCAGCTGAAAGTCCCATCGGTGCTGAGGCGTCCTGTGGGTTAGTAACAAGTGATCCAGAGGAAGGGATTACACAAGGCCAATGTGGGGGCCATTCTGCGCCATCTTAGACACTGCCTGTGGCATCGCCATATTCACTCTAAAATCCTATTTACAGGTAACTATTTTTAGAATGTCACTACTCTGAATATTTTTAAAGCTATCTGCTCATTTTCCTATCCAGATTAAGGGAATACAGGAAATGGTATAAAAACACAAAACAAGTAAATCCTTCTTTAAAGAAAAATTAATACTTTTACTGTTTCGTTCACTACTTTAACATGTCATTGACCTATTATTGACAGAGGAAGTACTGGAATCAAATAATTTCCTCAAAAGTGGTCCTGTGGGATTTTGGGGTTTAAGAAGTCCCTGACCTGTAAGGCGATACCACCACCAGGTGCACCAGCAAGAAGCTGGACCTGTGCTTGTGAGAATTCACAAAGCGGCACTTTAAAATTCAATAAAAGCCAACTAGCAAACCTAAAAAATTGCATAAAAGTTAAAGAGTAAGTAATATTTATCAGATGCCCAATGAGTCTGCTGGGAGAGTTTAGGAACCAACATGAGCCATGTGCATCTCAACCAGTCCAGGAATCTAAAATGTGCAAGCAGCAAAAAGTGTATCTTCAAGAGAACTGATAAGTGAGTCTTCATTAAATGGAGAAGACATATAAAAAACAATCTCATTCAGAAAGAGGCTGGGAAAAACAGGTTTCCACTTTAGAACAAGACTTTCATAAAACTTCTATAAAATAAAAACCTTATCATGTGGGGTATCAAAATTTAGAAAATTATACTGAAAAGGGAGGAACATCATTTAAGAAACAGAGCAAAGAGAACAAGTTCATGCTTGTGAGAAACAGCCCAATTTCATTTAACCCAGAGATCTGTGTCCCATAAAATATGTATTACAAATAAAAAATCATCTCTACCTTTAAGCTTAATTGAAGATACCCTTGTCTCATTTCTGGACTAGTTAAAACAGTAATGGTGCGCATTAATCATCACTGAGTTCTATGGAACTTTTAGGTCTTGCCTTGTAAAATCTCTTACCTGGTTAGCAAGAGATGATCCTCTCTCCTGTGGACTCCAATGAGCTAAAAGGCCGAGACACACATTAATCTGTAATTTTAGGGCTGCCTTACAACCAAAGGGAATCAAACATTTAAAAGCAGCTATGAGCTGGGCGTGGTGGCTCATGCCTGTAATCCTAGCACTCTGGGAGGCCGAGGTGGGCGGATTGCTCGATGTCAGGAGTTTGAAACCAGCCTGAGCAAGAGCAAGACCTCGTCTCTACTATAAATAGAAAGAAATTAATAGGCCAACTAATATATATAGAAAAAATTAGCCGGGCATGGTAGTGCATGCCTGTAGTCCCAGCTACTCAGGAGGCTGAGGCAGGAGGATTGCTTGAGCCCAGGAGTTTGAGGTTGCTGTGAGCTAGGCTGATGCATTGGCACTCTAGCCCAGGTAACAGAGTGAGACTCTGTCTCAAAGAAAAAAAAAAAAGCAGCTCTGGCCAGGTGTATGCAGCTCAGACTACATAAGCAGCAGCAGAAGCAGCTCAGACCAGCCTGAGCAAGAGTGAGACCCTGTCTCTGCTAAAAACAGAAAAATTAGCTGGGTGTGATGGTGCAGGCCTATAGTCCCAGCTACCAGGAAGGCTGAGGCAGGAGGATCTCTTCAGCCCAGGAATTTGAGGTTGCTGTGAGTTACAATGAGGCCACAGCACTCCAGCCTGGGGGATAGAGCCAAACCTTGTCTCAAAAAATAAATAAATAAAAAATAAAAATTAGCTGGGTATGGTGGTGCATGCCTGTAGTTCCAGCTACTCGGGAAGCTGAGGTAGGAACACACCTTGAGCCCAGGAGTTGAGGCTGCAGTGCATTCCAGCCTGGGTGACAGAGCAAGAACCTGTGTCTTTTTTTTTTTTTTTTTAAAGCAGCCATATACTATTACATTCTAATTATATCAAGCACAGTTTCTGTCACCTCAACTGGGCACCCGACTCAGAAAAAGCAAGGTTTGAATCCCAGCTCAAATCCCTTTAACTGTGTGACTTCTAGCTAATTACTGAATCTCTATGAGCCTTAATTTCTTCATCTATGTAATGTAAGTATCAACCCTGAAGGCCAGACCAGCAACCACCACCCGTCCAATAAACCCACAGGTGCCACCACACTGTCTGGAGACAGGCAGGAGGAAGGGCTCTGCCCATGCTCTCCACCCATCCCAGGGCTCCCCACCATGAAAGGCCCAATCTCTACAGAGCTGTTGAGAATTCAGTACCACGGTGGACAGAGAGCACTTAGGACATTGCTTGGCACACTTGGAGATACTCAACAAACGTTTACCTATAACTCTTAGGAAATGTAACAGCTTGGCATCTGCACTGGGGCAGTGAGCAGAGAACATTCCAGGACAGGAGTGCACTGAAACCTCTGGGCGGGTAGTCTCACTTGTGCAGACCACGCTAGGCTGTGCGGCAAGTAGGGCAGGCCTGGTCTTCAGTCACGCAGAACTGACCTTCTACCTGAGGAAGACCATTAGATAGAAAACAAACAGCAAGAGCACCAGGCCGTGGAGGTGAAAGCCATCACAATGGAAACAGTGTGACGTGGGGAGAGTAGGGGCTCTCCTTGAGAGTGGTCAGGAGAGCAAAGATCTGAGGAAGAACTTTAGAGACCAAGGGTTAGGCTCACTCACTGGGAGACAGGACAGCAACACGGCTGCTGGGGGAGCACATAGTGGCCGGCGGGCAAGGCCCCTAGAGTGGCAGGGTGGGTGATGACAGGTGTTCTGGACCTTCAGGGAGGAGTCTGGACTGCAGACCACATACAAGATGATGGTACATATACACGAGCAGGGGCACAGGCTTTGGTTTGTATTTGTTAAAACATCTCTGCTTGTGGGTGGAGAGAGGGCACTGGAGCTGAAAGCAGAGCAGGCAGCCCAGTGATGACACAACTGCAGTGGTCTTGGGGATAACAGGGGCTCAGGATACTGTGACAAACACAGAGACAGATGTTTTGGAGGGAGCTGACATGAGGGGTGGGGGTGAAGAGTAACTGATGGGCAAAGACGAGAAAAGCAGAGAGAAGCCCAAGTGAGGCGGGGAAGAGATCTCAAGTCCGAGACACCTGTCCCATAGCCAAGCAGAAATGTCCAGTGGGACATTGAGTCTGGAGCTCAGAGGTGAGGTGAAGACTCAGGACACTGATGTGGGAAGGGATGGGAAGGAGGAGGGACAGCTTTCAGATGGAGGGCTCGTCAGAGTAGAGCTGGGGCTGTAGCCTGGCCCATACCTTGCTCTTCCGCGCTGGCAGCCGTAATGAAGACAGCTCTGCAGGCAGCAGCCTCGGGCGTGATGACAGCCTGCACCAATCATTGGCTCACACTGAACTGCTCTAAAAACTCCATGCACCATGTTTCTAAAACATGGAGATCCATAGGAACTCACTTTCAAAGGAGAGTCACTTTTAAAGTTTTTTTGTTCTTGTTTGACCCTTTTTTTTTTTTTTTACCTTCTGAGTATAAACTAAAAGGCAGATTGATAATTGCATGGAATTGAAAGTATCACAACCCTTAGGAATTGAAAGACCATGGCAGACAGTTTTAACAATGGATTACCACTGTTTTAAAATTTTTGAGGCTGAATGTTGTCAAATACACACTCAAGCATGAAGTCATCTCACATTTGATGCATAAAATCTAGAACAGGAATCAGGCAGTATCAGTAAAAGCATTACCTATTTAACTTATGGAAAAAATGTTTTCACAAATTTGGTTGCTAAGCAAGAATTTGTAGGCAAAAGTAAAGTGAAGTGGAAGAGGAAAGAAGGGATTTGGTTTTCTATCAAGTTCACAATCATTGGTCTTAAATTGTAATTGGTTTAGTTACCTAGGCAGTTTTTTATAAGCCCCAAGGTCTTTCTACTCCACCAATAATATCCACTTGTGTGGGATATTTTTTGCTCCAAAGGGGAAGGCTGTTAGCTTGGGCTCAGAAAACCTCATTTGGAGACTCACTAGTAATGGTCAGAAACACAGCAAACACCTCCTGGGTAAAACCATATGGTAAAACCATACAGGAGGGCTGTTCCAGCCCCTCAGCAACCTGCTGCTTTTTCCCTCACCCTGTGTTCAAGTGGGACCTGCCCCTTCTACAATGGATTCCGGAGCAGTTGTCCTTTCTAGCTTTAATTATAATAAATGACATTTAAAAATATATCAACCTCTGGGCACGGTAGCTCACGCCTGTAATCCTAGAACTCTGGGAGGCTGAGGTGGGAGGATTGTTTGAGCTTAGGAGCTGGAGACCAGCCTGAGCAAGACCCGATCTCTACTAAAAATAGAAAGAAATTACTTGGACAACTAAAAATATATAGAAAAAATTAGCCAGACATGGTGGCATATGCTTGTAGTCCCAGCTACTCAGGAGGCTGGGGCAGGAGGATCGCTTGAACCCAGGAGTTTGAGGTTGCTGTGAGCTAGGCTGACGCCACAGCACTCTAGCCCAGGCAACAAAGTGAGACTCCGTCTCAAAAAAAAAAAAAGAATATACATATGTATCTACCTCTCCACTGTATTTGCACAGACTATGAAGACTTTCCCCCCACTCTGGAGAAAAACAACTTTGAAAGTAAGTTGTCCTTTCTATTCTGGGCAACTAACTAAAATACAGAAGGAACAGAAAGGGAATTTCGTAGGGGAAAGGAAACTGCAATGGAGGAGAAAAATCATAGAACAGACCCAGAAGCTTGAAAATAATTAGCAGAATAAGGTGATATTCTAATTTCTGTATGACATCATAGGAAATGACAAGTTCAATGGAAAATTTCTGGAAATATCACATTAAAATATATGTCATATTTATTCAGAATATCATAATCAATGCAAAAATAGAATTCTCTTCTCTCCTATAAAAGTTAAGTACAATACTGTAGGCTACATACATGATATTTTAGTCAAATCTTCAGTATTAGTTTCTAAAAACAAAAAAATCTACGGTTATACATATCCAATTTATCATACAAAATATATACAAAAAGCATCATTGTAGTGTAGAAAAATGAAGTTACCAAAATATAACTTATGCAATTTACTTTACAAAAAATGTATTCTAGTTAACTTTTTCCAAGAGCTTCACCAATTAGTTGAACAGCAACACTCTTGCCTTCGTCTGTTTGAATGACAAGCAAAGCTTCGAATTTGCCCACGGACTTGGGTTTGAACTGCACCGGCATGTTGATGTAGTGCTGGGCTCTGTGGACAGAAAGGAACATAGCAGTGGCCTGGTGACAGCCACACGCAACTGCCTGCCACAGTCAGCACACCACTAGGCAGAGGTGTTGGTCCAGGAGCCTAGTCAAGTTATGGTCAGCTTAAATCTAATTTTTTTGATGCTATTACTTAATAAGCAACTGACACAAAGGAGAGAAAACTCTAAAACTGAATTAAAACAGTATGTATATATGTATGTGTATATATATATGTGTGTGTATATATATATGTGTGTGTGTGTATATATATTCCTAGCCATCCCATAAATATAGAAAAGAGGAAATATGAGGTCTGACCTATTGTATGTAGAACTTTGTAGCTATCTACCCAAGAAAGGGTTAGAGAACACCCTGAATATCCCTACTACATTCAGTTCTGGAAATAGACTGTACTGGAAAGAATACTGAAACAACCTGTTCCATCCTCTCATTGACAGGGCTATGCAGTTTTTGCTCTAAAATTCGTATGCAACTTTCATCAAAACTCTTCTGAAAACTTTATTTTCAATAAAGGCAGGTTTAAAAATAGTATTTGGTGGGGAGGGTTTGTTTTCATGCATAAAACTATGTCCAAGAGTTTCAAAATATATTCTTGTTATTGTGGTGAAGGAGATGACACACACTTTATGCATAGTCTGTATGATGTCATCGATGTTCAGTCTTAATTGTTTTTAAGTGAAAACCTAGAACTTTTAGACTTTTCTCATAGGAAAGGTCTTTCATCCCATCATTTTAGAGCTACATGTTTTCAAGTTTGGCAATTGGAAGTAAAAAATGCTTTTGTTTCAAGTGTCTTTCCTGATAAAAACCCAACACAGGTGTCTGCCTTTGGGTGCACAACAGCACATTAGGCTTGAAATTCAGAAAACATTTTAGAAACCCTCTTCTTGGATATAACTCATAGCACAGATATGTATACCCTTATAGATCTACAGTGTGTGTGTGTATCAAATATATCTATCTTTATTTAAAGTCTGGGTTACTTCCCCAAATACACTATACATATTTTACCATGTCAAAGCTAATGTGCTTTTTTAAAAAATGAAAGCTAGCCATGGCATTAACTATAACTTTCTCTTTCATGTTGACATGTCAATACTCAGAAGAATGTAGTACAATTTGCCAATTTAAGAAGGCTTTATACTTTATGAATTATTGAAAATAATAAAACAACCCAAAATAAATCTCTGGAAGAGCTTTAAATTAGCAAATTTCATTATGGGATATAGAATTATTCTATATTCAATTGAAAAAATGTTTTTTAAAATGTACTGTGATGAAATATATCATCTGCTTCAAACTTACAGATACTCTGGATAAACTGGAATTAGAGAGAACCATAAAGTTTGACATAGCTATAGAACACTACCGGCAAGAAGGACATTTAAAACAGTACTTTGTACTATGATTAAGAACTGCTTTAGGCTGGGCATGGTGGCTCATGCCTGTAATTACAGCACTTTGAAAGGCTGAGGTGAGAGAACTGCTTAAGGCCAGAAATTTGAGACCAACCTAGGCAATATAGCCAGACCCTGTCTCTACAAAAAATTAAAAATTAGCCAGGCATGGTGGCACACACCTGTAATCCTAGCCACTTGGGAAGCTGAGGTGGGAAGATCTTTTCAGCCCAGGAGTTAGAGGTTGCAGTGAACTACAATTACGCTATTGCACTCCAGTCTGAGTGACAGAGCAAAACCTATTTTTTAAAGAAACTGTTTTGTCTCTCTCTCTCTCTCCACACACACACACACACAGAGAGAGAGAGAGAGAGAGAGAGAGAGAAGGGTAAAAGGGAGGTCTGCTGAGCCCCATGAGGAGAGAGAGAGAGAGAGAGAGAGAAGGGTAAAAGGGAGGTCTGCTGAGCCCCATGAGGAGAGAGAGAGAGAGAGAGAGAGAGAGAGAGAGAGAGAGAGAGAGAGAGAGAGAGAAAGAGAAAAGGGAGGTCTGCTGAGCCCCGTGAGGAGGTCTAGCTCAAACCCTCTCACTAGCTAATGACTAACTGGACAGCAAGAGCAGGTGGAGCAGAAAAGGGTCCAGAAATCAGAGAGGCCCCTGGCCAGGCAACACTCAGCCCCACTTACCCTACCTGTTTGAAAGGAGCTTAGTGGAGCCTATAAATTCCAGCAACAGTAATTTTTTCTTTCTTTTTGAGAAAATGTAAAAGGAACTTTTTCTGTAGGAAAAAGCTGGCATACTAGTATATCCAAGGTACCATCATTATCAAAGAAATTGGTTCCTATGGACTGGTAAGCAGGCACCACAGCCCACAGGCACAGCTCACTTCCGCACACGCAGCACCTGCCAGCTCCGACGGGAGCTCGCCAGCATCGTGCAGACGCTCCAAGCAAGGACACCAGGGCATGGGGAGGTAAAGCCCACTTGCTGTGACAGCTCAGTGGGGATTAGATATGTTTAAAATGATAGGTTAAGAGAAAGATGCTTTTCAGAGCTGAGTGGAAACATGAACAAATTCTTTTTCAAAAGATATAAATGTAAGAAAGAAAGGATCAACTAGAACCCAAAAAAAGAACCTTTACAGAAAAACTGTCAGAAACTTTTCCTTATTACCTATTTATAATCTGTCATTTTAAGGGGGCTAAATAGCCCCCACATACATTCATGCTCTCCCCTGTAACTTCTTAGGGGGATACTTTGGCCTTGGCATGCTGCCATCAGTTTCTAGCCCACAGGGCATGTGCCACTTCATGTGTTAGTGCTGGAGCTTACAGACAGCCCCAGCAGGCCTCTCAGTGGCCATGGCAAAGGTGCATATTTGTAAGGTCATTATCACTTCATGTACAGATAACTACAGATAACTAAAGTCATATTGTTGCCTTGAAAGTATGCAGTTAATGGTGTCACAGAGCAGACAGTGACCCAATGCATTAAAACTGTGATTCACAAAAAGGCTGTAAAGTGCTTCTCAGGGTTCTAAGAACAGAGATTTTTGTTCCACCTGCCAAGACAAGCTAACTGGTGTGCTCATCTGGCCATTATGTTATGACCCTTTGTCCTAAGGCAAAGTGTCTAACATCTGGACAAATACAAAAGGACCCACTACTCCAATTCTGCCATAAAAATTGTCAAGTGAAGTTCACAATCTGCTTCTATTGCCCTACTTCTTCTCCAAGGTGGGCACAACTCATTCTCTATTATAAAGCAGCCATCTTTCACCTTACTTTACATCATAATTAAGCCTATGGATGTTTCACAAGAGAAAAGTTTCCCATGAACAAGAGTTTACTTCATCTGGCTAAATAGAGCCCAAAATTAGTGTTTCACACAAGACTTTCTTATTCATATTTTACCAAATTTACAATGAGTTGCACTATTAAAGCTGATGCTGCAATCTATATTATTATGTATTTACATAATATGAATATTATGTATTTACATAATGTAAATATTATATACATGTTAATGTTGATGTTAACACTCTCTGAAAACTCATCCTTACAGAATAACTTAAGTATCTGCCACTAATAAAGCATAAAATTATCTCCGTTAAGCATAAAAGTTTTAAAAGATTTAAATTTAATGTTCAAAGAGTATAAACAAAATGTATCTTGTGATGTTATTTAAAATGCTAGCTTACCTAAACTGTCCAAATTTTGCTTAATTGAAAAATATTTTCTCATGTTTCTAAGTTCTTTCAGATGGCATTAACATGACCCAGGATGCATACGAGAGCAATGCTCTACTTTAGGACAGCTTAAAATTTTTAGCACTGGAATTTCAAGTCGACAAATTCACCTCTATAAAAATGTCACTTTTAAATGGCTAGCAACAAACACATTTTATTTTTCAAAACTAGTTTTTAGAAAAAAAGCTGAAGCTAAGCAAAATGTCATCTCATTTATAAACTTGAATTTCTCATTAAAAATGTTTTAGGCATCATTTCCCATCACGTCTATAATACTGAAGTCAGAATCTACATGGTAAGCAGCAGCAGCAATTAAAATAACTTTAAATCCAGGTAGGTCCACACAGAAGAGAGTTAACTATTTTGTTTACAAATTTAGATGATGGGCCAGGCGTGGTGGCTCACGCCTATACTCCTAGCACTCTTGGAGGCCGAGGCGGGCAGACCACTCAGGGTCAGGAATTCTAAACCAGCCTGAGCAAGAGCGAGACCCCATCTCTACTAAAAATAGAAAGAAAGTAATTGGCCAAATAAAAATATATAGAAAAAATTAGCCGGGCATGGTGGCACATGCCTGTAGTCCCAGCTACTCGGGAGGCTGAGACAGGAGGATTGCTTGAGCCCAGGAGTCTGAGGTTGCTGTGAGCTAGGCTGACGCCATGACTCACTCTAACCTGGGCAACAAAGTGAGACTCTGTCTCAAAAAAAAGAAAGGAAAAAAAATTTAGATGATGAAAAATAAACACGGCTGATATTAAATTAACTTGCCATGTTAATTGTCAAAATTATGTTTCAATTTAGGTAATGTCAATATTCTCTAAGTTTATAATACATCAAATGACAACTAACTGTACCACATGCTATAAACTGAGGGCCCATGTCCCTCCCCCCCCAATTTACTTGCTGAAATCCTCAAGTCACAAGGGTAACACCCTCAAGATTAGGGCTGATGCCCTCATCAAAGAGGCCTCTGAGAGTGACCTTCCCCTTCTGCCATGAGAGGACACAGTGAGAAGATGCTGTCTGTGCCCTAGGAAGTGGGCCCTCACCAGACATGGAATCTGCTGTGCCTTGATCTTGGCCTTCCCAGTCTCTGGAACTGTGAGAAATAAACGTCCGCTGCTTACACACTACCCAGTCTGTGATATTCTGTTACAGCAGCCCGAATGGACACAAGGATTTGCCACTCACAATTCCCCTTTTATCTCCTCTACTTGGCTGGTCATGTTCCCACACTCCATCTCAGAAACAGACTCTGCCACTTGTAACACTATCGTAATGAGAACAGTTTAGGTTCTTTCTTTGGAAAGGGTCCAAAAAGGTACCTGATTTGGTCCAAAAGGTTTGGCTGAAATACAATTTTTTAACAATCTGTAAAAACAAAGAATATAAAACAAAGAATATGATATTATATTCTTAAGCAAAGAATATAATATCAAAAGAGAATTTGAAACCACAATGTATTCAATGATAGAAGCTGGAAAATGAATGTTTAACTGCAGCCAAGTTTTGACTGCCTCCTCCCTAGCTATAAAATAGAAACTGCTACATAAAGCTGAACAATGTAACAAGCAATTTAATCAGCTATTTTAAATAATGATTCTTTACCAAAACTATAGATGTGGTATATGTAAATATTGTTATTTTAAAAGTTGGTACTAGGTTCTTCAAGATAATTTTTTAATAAAACTTTTTAGAAGGTTTTTTTAAAAAATCATTTAAGACAAAAAGAGCCCTTTGGAATACAAATCTAAAGTCCTTCCAATTTGTGACAGATGTATGCTAGTTTACATAGAATTATTCCATCGATCCACTGTGTTTAAAAATATACACCTGCACAAAGCGTGTTAAGATGTGGTATGTGAACCAGCCTCAGAATAAATAAACAAATAATGCAGTTATGATGAAATTTGAGTTTAGATAATAACAGTGTTCAGGATAATTTATTCAGTATCATTTGTACTGTTACTAAAAATAGTTACTACAATTAAAAATTTAAATAGTCTCTTTTTGAATAAACTAATTGCTTCTGCAATTGTGCTACCCTGTGCTTTACTCGTACCAACCTATTATTACTCACTCTACAACATCACTAGTCTCAAATCAATTGGGGCAACCTACAGTAACTGGGGAGCTACACAGACTGCTGTGAAAACAGAACTCAGACACAGTCCGCAAGTTGGAAAACCTGGATATAGCTGGTTTATAAACTTGTGCCTTTCTGCTCTATCAAAGGATTAAATGAAGAAGCACTGATGTGAACTGTGATTTCTAGCAAAATCTGTGGGGTTTGTATTATGGAGTCCTGCCAGTAAAGACCACCTATAGGAGAGATTTAATGATGGTGACAAAGACACTAACATCTGCTGACGCATGCTATGCTATGTCTAGGCACTATTACTCACGCATCTCTTATACATCCCTCAATTCTGTGCTATCAACAGCATTAGCATCTCCATTTTACTTATAAGGAAATTGAAGCCTCAAGAAATTACATCTACGATAATTTTCTAGATATAGTTATTGCCGAATTTACAGAACTGAAATCTACAGTTTGTGCCTTTCGGTTAGTCTCCTGGGAAAGAAAGCGTTTAGACCTTAAGTATATAAACATGTTTTCTAGTACATAGGATGAGAAAGAGGAGGATAAAGAGATAAGAGAGTGAAAAGAAAGGGTAAGAGGTGGAGGAACAGTCCTTAGCCAAGTCACCTTCCCAGCTTCAATCATACAGCACTGCTCATCTTGTAACTCAGTACAGTCCTAGAATGTCTGCAGTGGTCCAAATTTTCACAGAATATATCATGTCTCTGTAATAGTCCCCTAATGCTAAAATTAGAGATCTTATGATAATTAAATGGTTTAATTAAAAAGTCAGAGATGAAGTTAAAATTATTCTTTAGCATTGAGTCCAACATAACCCTACTGTTAAATTCTAAATAACAGTGATAATTCAGCTTGAGATTTCAACCTAAATGTACATTATATAGAAAAAGAAAATTAGCAAAGACAAGAAAATAAGGCCCTGGTTATGTACAATATTGGGTATTTGAAGAATGGCAACTGGAAAACACCAGTATTCCCTACTCATCTGGGAAGGTTTCTGTCCCAATTAGTGAAAATTTAAGTCTTTGATTCTCAGCATACCAGTGAAAATAACATTTTAAACAGGAATTACTCTGTAAGTTCATAACAGGATAATTAAGGCTCTATGTACGTGTGTGGCTGGGTAAGAGGAGAGCCTTACTCCTCTGGTAAGAGGAGCCGTTCAACAGGTCCAAACACTGCAGGGCTGCTATACTGCCACATGCACTGCGGATGGTCACCAGATATCTGCCCTGCAAGCTCCTTTTTCTCTTTTGCAAATGTGTTGAAGATGCATGTGTTTAACACTCTTGGGTGTTGGCCATGAACATGGTGGGGGGACGTGCAACACAGGAGTCCTCATAAGCCCAAACTCCTGAGGAACGAAGTCCTGCACCACAATGAGAACACTTGTAATCTATGATAGATTAACTCACCTCAGAGAGTATTTGGAATGTTTGACGTAGAATGGCTCTCTGGGACTTAAAAACTTCAGCTGAAATTTAATAGAAAACACTTTATAAGGTTATATAAATTAGATATTTTAGCATACATAAAATATACCATGCATTTCTTTAAAGATATATTTTGTAAATTTAGATATCACCACAAGATTAGGTAAGACAACAAATGCTGATGTAATGAAAATACATTTAAGGGAATTTTAACATGAATTTTCTCTAATTTTGACTAAAGCAAATGTTATCCAGAAATATGTCTGTGTGATAGTACAAAAGAAAGTTAAAAATAAAAATATAAAAACAAAATTTTTTACTTTCAAATAAACAGTCATGAATCGCCGATGACCTGCATTTCAAGAGTTAGGATATAAAAAAAAAAGAACAAAAGAAATATGAAAAAATTAAAAAAAAAAAAAAAGAATTGCCAATGAGTTTCTTTCCAAATACAGTAGTATCAAGGCATTTTTTAAAGATTAAGTTATTATGACTGAAATATAATCTGTAGAACAAGTTTCTAATCATCAGGAAAATGTTATCAAACAGTTGAACACATTTACTTTTTCAAAGCCCACAGTAACATTTCCAGCTTACCGAGTGTGTTATAAAAGAATTATTTCGCAGATTGACTTTCAGCGTCCTTGATTCCCCAACTCTAGTTGGCAGAAACCTGTACACATCTTCTGGGGCATAAACTCCACGGTGGGTCACACTGAGCTGCCTGCTTTGGGAATGGGTTTAAAAGTTAACTATTTAAAATCCATAGTAATTTAAATTATTTTTTTGTTAAATTATGTAGTGCTACATTAATTGGTGTTTTCGCTCACAACTCATTTTAAAAAATCGTTTTGTGATGGCAATATCTAACTTACTTGAAAATAAGCTGGCGCTAGCAGGATTCTCATTTAAAGGGTGTTGGGTTAGGCCATGCTCCGTGGCACTGCTTTCATCCCCAGTGTCCTCAGCCTGGCTCTCCACCCACCTCCCTGGCCTAACCAAGCCACTGGACCTGGACCACTCACACCCTAGCCTGCGGCTGCCTTCACTATCACAGGACACAGGACTCTGAGACCAGGACACAGCCTCAGCCTCTCAGCACCACTGGATGGTGGTGAGCGCTTGCTGGCTGTGGCTCCCCTCTCCCCTCTCCGGCCACTCCTCCGAGTGGCGGGCTCCCCTCTACTCCCTCACGCTCTGTGGCCCAGCACCCCCAGGATGCTGGAGCTAAGACTCAGCCCTCAGCTGTGGGCAGCAGCCTTCTCTATTCAAGCACAACACAACTGTCTGTCTCAGGATAGCCGAAGACATCTGTCACCACATACATGGAACTAAACTTAGGATCTTTCTCCTCAAATCTGATCTTTCACTGGTATTTCCTGAGCCTCCTATGCCCTTTTATCCAATCCATAGTGGAAGTCTTCAAATTTCCTTCCTATATACTTCTCAGATCTGTCCATTCTGTTCATATTCCTTGACACTATTTTACTCTTGGATTGCTTAAAAATAGCCTCTGGCTTGTTTTACCTTATCTGCCCTTGCCTCCCTCTACTTAGTCCATACTATCACTCAATGGATATTTCTATAAAGACTCAAATCTGATCACATCACTCCATGGCTTCAGATAGCTCTCCAGACAAGCGCCACCTCCTTTGTCCAGCACTCTGTCTGCCTCCCTCTCTACCCTCACCCCTCCATGTGTGTTCTCAACCTGGGGTTGTCTTTTGGTTCCTCAAGGGCCAACAATGTCCTTTACTCGGCCGGAAACTGTTCCCACCCCTTCACCTAGAAATTTCCACTTAACCTCCTCGACTTCAATGTCCCTTTTCAGGAAAGTTCTTCCCAGATGTAACAGACCAAGCTGCATCTGTCACGTTTCCCATTCATTTCCCTCCAGTCCTTTCCATAATTGGCAACAGAACATGTCCCGTATGGTCACTGGATTGTGACTCCTTCTCCAGGAGGGAGCCATGGAGGCGGGACCGGGGCAATTCTGCTCACTCTGGCAGGCAGCAAGTGCTCAGCAGGTATGAGATGAGCAAAAGAGTAATGGCATGGAGAGGGAGTGTTACAAACGCATTCTTTAAAGGGTTTGAATTTCTTTGCTCCTATTAGAAAAAGGAGCAAGATGCATTATTTGTTCCTATTAGAAAATAAATGACCAAATTTACATTAAATTCTGCAGGCATTTAACATATATTTTTCAGGCCTGGCGCGTTGCCTCATGCCTGTAATCCTAGCACCCTGGGAGGCCAAGGCAGGAGGATTGCTCAAGGTCAGGAGTTCAAAATCAGCCTGAGCAAGAGTGAGATCCGTCTCTACTAAAAATAGAAAGATATTAATTGGCCAACTAAAAATATATAGAAAAAATTAGCCAGCATGGTGGCACGTGCCTGTAGTCCCAGTTACTTAGGAGGCTTAGGCAGAAGGATCACTTGAGCCCAGGAGTTTAAGGTTGCTATGGGCTAGGTTGATGCCACGGCACTCTAGCCCAGGCAACAGATTGAGACTCTGTCTCAAAACAAACAAACAAAAAAACCCAAAAAGAACAAAAAAACAAAAAAACATATTTTTCTTCCAGGCATATTCCTCCAAAACTAAATTAGACCTAACTATTAGTTAATTTACATTTTAACGTTTTGAAGAATCTACTTTCATACGCTCCTTATGGGAATGTAAAATAAAATAGTACAACTGCTTAGGGAAAACTACTCTTAGCAGTTTATTTTAACGTTGTCATGTGACCCAGCAATTTTACGTTAAATGAGGTATTTTTACCTATGAGAAAGGAATCCATATGTCTATAGAAATGGATATACAACAATATTCATAGCTCCAAATTATAAGACACACAAATGTGAACAGGAAAATGAATAAATTACAATGTTTGTTTAAATGAATAATAAATGATAAAAAGGAACAAAGTAGAGGTACATTCAACATCATGAATGAATACAAAAAACATGTTGAGAAGAATCCACACACAAAGAGTGTATATGTATATGAAGTTCAAGCAAAATTAATCTATGATGATAGAAATCAGAACAGAACAGATCTCGGCTGCAAAGGCACATGTAACAATTTTCTGGGCTGAGAGAAATATTCTCCATCTTGACAAGAGTGGTAGTAACCCATGTGAACTCATAGGTAAAGTCATGGAGCATTCCACTGCATATAACTATACCTCAAAAAGTACCAGGAAAAAAATTCGTAAGTGACAAAAACAACATACTCAGGTATAAGAGCAGAAGCCTCTGACACAGCTTGTCTTCGGGGCTTAACTAAATTATCTATTTTAATGAGAGAATCTGTAGACACGCATGCATGTTCAGGCTGATTTTCTGCTTTGGCACTCTGTATGGAAAAATCACAGGGTGGGGGATGAGAAATAAAAATTCTAGGAAAATACATGGACATTTATCTATTTGAATTCTACCGTTTCCTCTAAAATTTATTTAAAGGAGACTTAAAATTTTTAAGTCCCCCAAATTGCAGATTCTCCACAGTGTACTATTTAATTTCTCTCTTATATGCCTGCACGAACACACAAAAGCATATACATAGTATCTTACATAATTAAGTCAAACATGGGTCCCATGCATCAAACATGCCAATAAAGAAGACAAAAAAGAAATCAAGACTATGGGGCTATACAGCAAAATTAGTGAAACTGGGATAATCCTAGGAAAATATTCTGCATTTTTAGGTCAGTTTTTAATGTCATTTCACTTATTGTTTTTAATGTATACACAATAATTTACTTTTCAGTATAATACGCACTTGTCCAGAGAGCTGAAATCTCAACGTGTGTTTTATGTGAGGCTCTTTAAGTGGGTGACATTCAACGTCCCAAAATTGGGCATAATCCCCTCTATCTCTGGGCAAAAATGTGATGGAGACCTACAAAACACATCCAGAAGAGAAATTTAGACATTGATCATTAGACACATGTAGTTAGGTTACCAATTCAAAGTTTTGGTATAAAAAAATTAGATGAACAAATGCTTTTCCACTGGCTAATTTTCCCACTAATTCGAAGAATTTGATCAATTTCATTTCTGGTGGTCTTGTTACTATACCAGATCCCAAACACATTCCTGCTTAAGGATTTATATAACATATCAATTAAAATGTACAGTAAATGTTTTGGAGAAAACAAAAAGTACTAAAGCTGTCAAGCACAAGACCTACATGGGGAAGGTCCAACCACAGAAACGCAATCGAGTCTTTTCCTCCCAATGCTTATGGAGCCCTCTGCTGGCCACACAGTAAAAAGACAAGGGCTGGCAACAGCCACGGACAGTAGAGGACTGGTTAACAGTGAGGAGGGTAGGGAACAGAAGGCAGAACCCGACAAGCATCGCAATGCCAAATAATTGAGGCTCGTATTATGATTAACTTCAGAACTTCAGTCAGTGCCCGCTAACCCTGACTATACAGCTCAAAGTTATATACATGCCCTGTGTGTGTACAACCTGTAAAAAGCTCAATGAGAGAATTATGATATTTAAAAATAGTATTTTATAATGTTTACCAGTGTTATGAGCTTTAGCTTCATCAAAGAATTTAGTGTTGATAAAACTGATCACCAATCAGGATAACGGTGAATTAGTACCTTTCAGACTGTACTTAAACATTAAAACAGTTAAGTGACCTAATTGCTGCCCAGGTAGAACTGAGAAATAATAACCAGCAAGCCTGAGCTTAAGGCTGCTGAGAGCCTGGGGGCAAAGGCTGGACTACCAAGGAGGTGAGAACATACGAGCACCTGCTCAGGAGGACACAGACACTGAGAAGGAAGGGGTGAAACCACCCCTGGGGACTGCAGTACCCCCAAATCCCAACTACAAGACGAAGAGAGAAAAAGCCTGAATTAATGCATATTATAATACTAGGTACATAATGGTCCATTATCTCATTTAATCCTCATATCAAACTGACCAATGTTTCAAAAATCTGTTGTGTACATCTCTTACTTTAAAAAATAGGCTGCTCCTGGCCTACAAAGAAAAAATAAATAAAAAATAAAATTAAAAATAAAATAAAGTAAAAAATAGCCTGTAATTAATGAACTGATTTTTTTTTTGGTCACTACTATATTCATCACTAATTGTGCTATTTGGTAATACTTTTCTAAATGGTCCCAGAATAATATGCTTTGCTGTTTTATCCCTAATACAAATTAAGCAACCAGACCTAAAATTCATTTGATAAAGATTTACTGAGTACCTATGATGTGGTAAACAATTACTTTGGTGCAAGATATACAGTGATGAACATAATAAAAATGAAAGATCTCATGGGGCTCACACTTGTGTGTTAAGTGTGTGAAAAGGAGAAATTCCTGGGAGACAGTCTAGTTCTGCACTCTTTTTTTAAAAAACAGCTTTATCAAGATACAATTCACATACTATATGTGTTATTTATTATTTTTTATTTTCTGCATATTTTGATATCTTAAAAAATCGTTTTGGCTGGGTTAGCAAACTCTTAGAGACAGCAAAGGGCTCAACCAGGAGCATGCTTTGATCTTAAACCAACCAGGGCAGAGCCACACCTCTCCCATGGGCCCACATACCCAGGAGGCAAAGTTTCTCTACCTTACACATTCCAGGCCCAGGTACCAGGCAACTAGAGACCAACTCTTTGGCTCAGAGCCTGCGAAAAATTATTTGAACTAGCCAGTCCTAAACTGTTCAGCCTGCCCCCATCGCTTTTCCTGTAGAAACCCCAACAAAGGCTATGGTCTCAGCTCTTCTCTCGCTCCTGCCTTTTGCCATCTGACCACCCTGGTGTTTTCCCCATGATCCTACATGGTGTGCAGTCATCTCCTTTCTGGAACCTTTGAGGGTGATACACTTTGTGCTCTTTTGTCTCTCCTGTATCATTTCTTATGGCCACACCTGACTGACCATCATATAAAAGAGCACATAAATTTGCCCATTCCAAGTTCGTAAAGTCAGCAAACTGTGCAACCATCACTACAATCTAATCTTAAAATATTTTCAACAATCCAAGAAGAAATCGGATACCATTAACAGTCACTCCCCACTCTCACTACCAGACCCTAGCAACCACTAATCTACTTTCTGTCTCTATAGATTTGCCCACCCTTGACATTTCCCATAAATGAAATCATACAATACATGGTCTTTTGTAACTGGCTTCTTTCACTTAGCATGTTTTCAAGGTCCATCCATCTGGATGCAGCATGTACTGGTAACTTCATTCCTTTTTATTGCCAAATATTTCATTGTATGGAGATACCACATTCTGTTTATCCATCCATTAGTTAATGGACATTCAGGTTATTTCCACCTATTTTGGCTACTGTGAATAATGTTGCTAAGAACGTTTGTGCGTAAGTTTTTGTTTAAACAACTGCTTCAATTTTTTTTTTTTTTTTTTTTTTTGAGATAGGGTCTTCCTCTGTTGCTGGAGCTGGAATGCAGTGGCATTATCATAGCTCACTGCAACCTCAAACTCTCAGGCTCAATCTCCTGAATAAGTAGGTCTGCAGGTGCATGCCAGCACACTCGGCTAATTCTTCTACTTTTTTGTAGAGATAGGGTCTCCCTATGTTGTCCAGGCTGGTCTTGAATTCCTGGCCTCAAGCAATCCTCCTGCCTTAGCCTCCCAAAGTGCTGGGATTATAGGTATGAACCACCATGCCCAGCCTGCTTTTTGTTGTTGTTTTTTCTTTTTTTTTTTTTTTTTTTGAGATAGAGTGTCACTCTCTTGCCTAGGCTACAGCGCTGTGGTGTCAGCCTAGCACATAGCAACTTCAAACTCCTGGGCTCAAGCGATCCTCCTGCCTCAGCCTCCTGGGTAGCTGGGACTACGGGCATGTTCCACCATGCCCAGCTAATTTTTCCTATTTTTAGTTTGGCTAATTTATTTCTATTTATAGTAGAGACAGGGTCTCACTCTTGCTCAGGCTGGTCTTAAACTCCTGAGCTCAAGCAATCCTCCCACCTTGGCCTCCCAGAGTGCTAGGATTACAGGCGTGAACCACTGCGCCTGGCTTTTTTTTTTTTTTTTAAACCATAGCCATCTTAGTGAGTGTTAAGTGATACTTTGTTTCTAGTTTTGATTGCATTTTGCTAATGACTAGTAATTCTAAGCATCTTTTCATACATTTATTGGCCACTTGTATAATGTATCTTCTTTGGAAAAATGTTTATTCAAATCCTCTGCTCATTTTAAAAACTGAGTCCTTTTTTAAATTAAGTTGTAAGAATTCTTTACATACTCTAGATACATCTTTTGTCAAATATGATTTGCAAACATTTTTCCCATTCTGTGGATAGTCTTTCACTTTCTTGACAGTATCATTTGATGCTCAAATGTTTTTAATTTTGACAAATCATCTATTTTTTCTTTTGTGGCTTGTGCTTTATTGGTGTCATACTTAAGAAACAAACGCTTAACCCAAGGTCATGAAGATTTACTCCTATGGTGTCTTCTAGGGGTTTTGTGGTTTTAGCTATTACATTTACAGTCTATGGTCCATTTTGAGTTAATTTTTGTATATGGTACTAGGTAAGGATCTATTCTATTGCTTCTGCATGTGGCTATCCAACTGTCCCAAGCACCATTTGTTAAAAAATATTCTTTCCCCATTTAATTGTCTTGGTGCCCTTATCAAAAAATATCAATTGACCATAAGGGTTTATTTTGGGACTCTCAATTCTATTCCATATGTCTATAAAACTGTATATGTCGATTCTCATGTTAATACCACAACTGTTTTGAGTAGTGTAGCTTTGTAGTAGGTTTTGAAAATGGGAAGTGTAAATCCTCCAACTTTGTTCTGTTTCAAGATCATTTGGTTATTTTGGGTCCCTTGTATGTCCATATGAATTTTAGGGTTAGCCTGTCAATTTCAAAACAAAACAAACAAAAATTCATCTGGGGTTTTGACTGGTACTGTGTTGAATATGTAGATCAACTTAGGGAGTACTGCTGCCTTCCACTGCTAAGTCTTCTGATCCAGTGACCCCTGCAGGGTTTCTTTCTGCAATCTCTCCTTATATGCTGAATTTTCACTGAACAATATACCTATTCCCTGGTTCTACTGCTTCTTTCCTGTTGTGGTTTGGGAAATGAAATAAACTATGCTTACAGAACTATATGTCTTTCCAAAACAGTGAGAACCCCTCCAAAAACCTGTTATACAGACCCAGTAAAGTGCACAGAGTTTGTGACAACTACTATAGCTGCTCCGAGATTCTTCTATAATTAGTTTTAAGTTCATAGTTACATTCTAGAATTTATTAGAAGTCTTAATGTCTGAATAAATGGGCCAATATCACATAAGAGATACAGTTTAAATGAGTCTCAGTAATTAAAATGAAGAAGTATATTATTGAGGCCAAGTGGATGACTAGGATTACTGGTAGACATTGAAGGGACTATGTCAGGTCTAGACATAGATAAACAAACTAAAATAGGTGAAATCAAATGAGGCACTCCTGGATGATTAACATTGTGTTATTACGAACTGGCTATGAAAAAAATGCCAAAACTTACCTTTTGGATTCCATGGCTTTCCAGTATACCAGAAATAGGAGAACATCTGAATGCTGCATAGGTAGCTCTAAAAACATCTCCACTTTCATCCACTCCCTGCAAAGTAACCATGTAAAAACATAAATGTCAATGGATTAATTCCACAGGGATGCCATTGCCTCTATGGCTATCCAGGACATACCAACCTATTTAGCAGGGGACAAGGAGAGCTCAATGCATCCCCAGGAGTGGTGGTGCTACCTAACTGCACAGGCCATTGTGCTGTCACCACAATATATGGTGACCGTTATCTCCCTGGTTACAGTGATCTTATAATGCTATTCACAATGTCAAATTACTGCCTTTACCTTAAAGACCCTGAAGACCCCGTTGAATGTACATTTTAATATCCATTGCAATACCAGCTCTTTATTTCTTTGCAGCAAGTCCAGCAATTATCATTTGCACATATTTTTTAGTATTATGGCTCAAAACTGTTACCATCATACAAAATACACGGCAAAGAGGCCACAGTGTTCTGAACAACACAAATGAAAAATCCACCCAGCTCAGGCAGTGCCCAGTAGATGGCAGGTTAACACTCAATGGCAAAGAGCACTCAGCCTGTTTCCTGCACCAGCTTCCACGGGCTGGAAACATATCACAGCACTCGGAACATGGGAGAGAAAAACATGCATGTGCACACACAATGCTCTGTAATAAAATTTATAAATATTTTTCAAAATAAAGTTATTCCAGATAAAAATCAGAGCTGGAAGACAGCACTAAATGGAATGAGCATACTAAAAGAACTTTATAGGGCCAGAAAAAAAGATAAATAAATAAATGTAACAAGCATGTATTTTCACACATATTCTCTAATGTGACTCTCAAAACCACCCTTCAAAAAACTCTGGGCATGTATCATCCTCATCTACAGAAAAAACCAAGCAAAAAAATTAGTAGAACAAATAGCCAATAATATAAGCTATGCTCATACTCAGTTTTTAAACACCCTGCATGAAGTTTAAACGTCAACTGACCTTGACGTAAGGTGGAGCTAGAGATGATAGATGCCACTTGGCGGCAGTGGTGCCATGATTCTCCAGTTCCATATAGTTCTCTAAAAGGAACACACGTGTCACAACTCAACTCAGAGAGGTCAGTGAACGAGCTGATTACTGCAACAGGCTCATTGCCTCATCACAGGGGAAAAACAATCATTAGTGCTCTAAAGGAGTTCAACAGGAACTATAGTACCAGATATTCTATTTTGGGTTTTATTCTAAGCAAAATGCAAACGTACTGAAGGGTGTAAGCAAGGAAGCAGTAAGAGGGTTTACATTTTTGAAGAGTTACAGGCTGCTGTGGAAAGAGACTGCAAGGGGTTGAAGCGGGCAGTGGAGCCCAGGTCTCACGTGACCGCAGTAGCCTGGTTGACAGATGACGTGCATGTGGCTGCAGCAGGCTTGGACAGCAGCAACAGGGAGAAAAACAGGTGGGTACATATGGCATCTATCTTGAAGACAGACCCCAAAGCACTTGCTGATGGACTGAATGAGAGGATGAACAGAAATCAAAGTAACAACCAACAGGCAGACAGTGGTGCCACTTATTGACAAGGGTGAGAAGAGAGAAGCAGGTCCTGTCACGTCACAGCTGATGTGCCTGTGAGACGCCCACATGCAGAAGCCACATGGGCGCTGGGGTATGCTGCCTGGGCCCAAGCACAGGGGCAGTTGTCAGAGTCACAGGCCACAGTGACCACTCACGGAGCGCAGAGGGAAGGAAGGGCACAGGTAGGGCCAGAGCCCCAGAGCCGTGCCAGACTTTAGAAGGCAGGAAGAAGAGTCAACAAAGGAACCTGAGAAGGACCAAGTGAGGCAGGAAAACATTAAGAGTGTTGGTACCATAGAAACTACAAGAAGGATGGTTCCGAGGCTGAAGTGGTTTGACAGTGTTGAGAGGTCAAATAAACCAAGACACGTAAAAAGGACCCTGGATTTGGCAAAATGGAGCTCTTCAGTGATCTTGATGGGAGAAGGTTCTGAGCATGGTGGTGATGGCAGCTCCAGGCCTGGGAGCAGAACACTTTCACATGAGGTGTGGATGTCGAGAAAGGGTGCAGCTGCAGGAAGAGGACCTGGAGGCCAAGGAAGGTGCTACTTAAACCAGTGATGGTGGAGCATACTGTGTGCTGACAGAAATGTATCAACAAAGAGGGAGATGGATACCAGAATTACCCTGATTTGATGCTTATTGTATGCCTGCATCAAAACGTCATACTGGCCGGGTGCGGTGGCTCACGCCTGTAATCCTAGCACTCTGGGAGGCCGAGGCAGAAGGATCGCTTGAGCCCAGGAGTTTGAAAGCAGCCTGAGCAAGAGCGATACCCACCTCTACAAAAAAACCAGAAAAATTAGCTGAGCATCATGGTGCATTCTTGTAGTCCCAGCTACTCAGGAGGCTAAGGCAGGAGGATGGCTTGAGCCCAGGAGTTTGAGGTTGCTGTGAGCTAGGCTGACACCACAGCACTCGAACCCAGGTGACAGAGTGAGACCCTGTCTCAAAAAAAACCAAAAAACAAAACAACACAAATCACATGCCCTATACAAGTATTATGTACCCATAATAATTAAAATTTAAAATAAAAAAATAAAACAAAAGCAAAAGAGGGAGAACTGATGACTCAGGAGAGAACAGGGACCAGAGGAAGTCCTCAAGAGGCGGGAGTGGATGGGCCTAGGTTCCAAGCAGAGGGGTTAGTCTGTGATGTAAACAGAAATCTTTCATTCAGTCTCAAGACCTCTCTATTTTCCATGTGTGAGGCAAAGTCGAGGGTTAGGAAGAGAGCAAGCCAGCGAGCAGGAGCAGGGAAGGAGGGCAGGAGTGCCCAGATGAAAGAAGTGACACTCGGCTGCTGGGGAGGGCCATGGAACACACCGAGGAGCTCTGGCAGGAAAACCTGGCGTTGAGCGGCACCGTGTCCATCCGCAGGGCTGCACAGCTTCCTCAGTGAGGATCTGCTGCGGGTTGGAGACATGGAGTGGCCAGATGGCGGGGTGACCCAGGGCTGGGATTCAGCCAGGTGGGAATGTAGAAGGAGAAGCGCAGGGGGCAGTCAAGGGAGTAGGCGAGGCAGTGATTACGATGACAGACCCCAGAATCTAGGGGGTGATGAGAGGAGAGGGACATGAGGGGGAGGGGGAGAGTGCAAAGGTAGTAGGGCCAGCAGACAGGGGGTCTCAGTGAGGTCAGAGTACTGCTGCAATCCTTAGAGTAGGTGACCTGGAGAGATGGGCGTGGTGGCTAGAAATGTCAGGCTTGAAACTGAGTGAAGTGTGGCATACTGGGGGTGAACAGGGCCAGGCGAGGAGCATGGAAGCAGGAAACTGAGACTGAAGGGCAGATAAATCAATGGAAGAGGCTAGGAGCTAGGGGGCCAGGTGACAGATGGCCCAAATCTTTCATAATAGGCCCCACCACAACACTGCTCATTCAACCTGAGCCAGCAGTGACAGACACAGACAGGTATAGAAAAGACATTTCAATTTTGACCTTTTCCCAGGCTAGTGACATGTGGTGCAATACTCTCTTGTGATGTGGATACTCCTCAGGACTTGGAGGAGTATAAGCACTACAGAGTGCCTACTCGGTAACATGTATATATATACTAGCGAACACAGGTGCTCTTTAACTTGTGCAGGGGTTATGTCCCAATACACCCATCCTAAGTTGAAAATATGATACATCAAAAATGCATTTAATACATCTAACCTACTGAACATCACACCTTAGCCCAGCCTGCCTTAACACATTAACTGCCTTGTGAGTTGTATTTAACTCACGCTAGTTTTGAGCCCGGGGCCTTGTGAAGCACGTGTAACTCACACATCTCTTCACCTTGGGAGTTGCAAGAACTATTTTTCAAGGTGCATATAACTCACATACAGAAAACAATAAAAGAGTAACAATTTTGTCATTAAATAGAAAGGATCGTTTTGTTTTTGAAGTTTTCATTGTCATAATAAAACACTGTGGCCCCAAGGCAAAAATTTTCTAGTATGGCAATGTGTTAAACATGCTAAGAACACTCACATTAGCCTACAGCTGGGTAAAATCCTCTAAGGCAAAGCCTGTTTTATAATGAAGTGCTGACTATCTCATGTAATTTACTGAACACGGCACAGGCTGTTCACCCTCGTGGCTGACCAGGGGCCACTGCTCGCTGCCACCACCGCCGTATCACAAGACAGTATCGCACCACATATCTCTAGCCTGGAAAAAGCTCAAAATTCAAATTCAAAGTACAGTTTCTACTGAAAGCATATTGTTTTCACACCACCATAAAGTCAAAAACCTTAAGTCAAACTATCATTAAGTCGAGGACCATCTGTATATGTATGAATTGTTGAATTTATCCTCAAATCCCTCTGTGGAAGGTGTTAATTCTAATGGTCATTTTACAACTGGGGAAACTGAGTAAGTCTATTTAACCTTTCTAGAGCCTCAAAGTCACATTGGGAAGTAAGAAAGCCAGGCTCCATCACCCACTTTCCTCTCTCATTCATCTACTAACTTACTAACAATCCTGGTCAAAGATCTGTGAGAGTTGGGGAGGGATGGTTCTGACCATCAAATAAAATCTAAGATTGCTGGAAGACACAGAGTTATTAAATGATGAGGGTTAATGCTTAAGATTAAGTCCCAGATCCAGCCCCTCATTGAAATGATTGCTAATGATGATATGATTTTTCTCCTCAAGCAGGGGGAAAAATTTGTACTTATCACTAATTTATGGTCAGCTAAGAATAGAGTATTAGACTCAGTAGACATTTGAATTACATAATTTTGTGATATAATACCTGAAGTTTTACCAGGTTCTGTTGTAGGAAAAGTAACAGTCTTGTTTCTTATTTCAACTTTTGTGGAAGGTGGTTTTGTCATTGGTTTTGCCAAATGACTAACTGAAGGCTCAGACACTGGGGGAAGAATTCCAAAAGGTTTGGAGGCCAAACGAGTTAAAAATTCTTCTTGAGTCAAATCTTCTCGAACTTGAACTTTTACAATTTTCTGAAATGAACCAAATAAAGGAAAAAGACACAAATGTAGCTATCATTTTAAAAGAAACAATCCCTATTTTTAAATTATAATAGAGAAAAGTAATGCCAAACAAATGAAACACTGAGGAATTTAGAAATTAAGGTTTATTCAGTGTCAAACACAATCTCTGATTCTACCTACATCCTCTCCCTCCACCATTTTTTGAAAGTAAATTTCACAAATTAGCAATGGCTTCATGGTCCCATTCTGCACCCAGCACCCACCCCTATCCCTCAACAGAATCATTCTGATCACGATGAAGAATTCGGTACTAAATGCTCTAATGAAATAAACCTAGCCGGGCTCAAAAGAACAAATACAGTCGCCCCTCAGTATCCATGGAGGACTGGTTCCAGGACCCCCAAAGACACTAAAATCCATGGATGCTTATGTCCCTCATATAAAATGCTGTATAGCATTTGCATACAAACTACACACATCCTCCCATAAGCTTTAAATCATCTCTAGATGACTTACACTACCTAATACAATATAAATGCTATGTAAATAGTTGTTATACTATATTTTTATTTGTATTTATTATTTTTCCCCCAAATACTGGGTTGGTTGGTTGAATCTGAGGATGTGGAACCCATGGATACAGAAGGCCAATTATACCTTCATGTGATTTTTGAAATGTAAGTGCTAATGAGGATAATGAAACTGAAGCTACAAAATAAGAGAAATGTTCAAAAAAAGAAAAACAACACTTTTAAAAGTACCTTCTGTCCATGGTCACAGTGTACATAAATCAAACCACTCCACGGGAACACTGACTGTTTTGTGGATAAGGAGGAATTAGGACTCACAAGAATTTGTAGTTTACTCCTTAAAAAAAAATTAATAATGAAAATCAAAAATATACTGTACTTTAATAGCAGTAATCACAAGAGTCACAAATATCATCTGCCAATGACCAACTATGTCCTTATTGTTCAGAGAGAGCAGAGATTAGCGCCCACAGTGCTGACACACAGGTTCTGCCTCTGTTCCCTGACTTGACGGCTAAGAACCGCTGCATGGCGTGAACCCACACCCATGGGCAAAACTCATGTGAAAACAAGCCACACCACAGAAATGCCATTTTCAAGGCAATTCAAAATAAAAATTTGATCCACTTGATAGCAAAGAATATTACAAAACAGTCACAGTCAAAGAGAATGTATTAATAGTAGTTGGGGAAGAAGCTGGAGGAAAAGGAGGGGGAGATGGAAAAGAAATGAAGAAAATAATCTGTTTCTTTACAACCCAGTTGCTAATATTTTCTGTGCTCACTGTTCTCCTCAAGAGCTATGGGATGCCAAAGAAGAGTTTAAAATGGACAATGTGCTCAGATTTATAACTTAAAAGAAATCACCAGCTACAAAAATGACAGGGCAAGATTATTTGCCACTGCTAATAGTTAAACACGTGGGGCTGCAGAAAAAGTCACTCGTGAAAAACCTGTCCTGTCATCTCCCTACCTTTTTAAACATCAGTTGAGAAGGGTATGCTGCACATAATAAACACTTAGTACATTTTAACTGACAGCTCCAGAGTGTCTCTGACCATGCCTTAGCTCATAGTCTTAGTCAAGTAAACTCCCTTAAAATGTACACTCTTCATTTTGTTGTTCTACGAAGTTGCTAATCCCAAATATGGAGGAGCTTCCAGAAGTGAGAGTTGTGTGGACCTAGACGAGGTATCTGAAAAGCTGTGGAGCTGTGGCTTTCCCTCCTATCAACCGCTAGGCTGTGTACAGAGGGCAGCTGTGTATACATGGCTGGCACCAAGAGACTTCCTTCTGTTTTAAAAATATTATGTATAGAAAATCGTAAACTGGGTTATAGCTCAGACATATTAAAAGTCAGGAAGCTTTGTCTAAAAAAATATCCTTCGGGCCAGGCGCGGTGGCTCACGCCTGTAATCCTAGCTCTCTGGGAGGCCGAGGCAGGCGGATTGCTCGAGGTCAGGAGTTCAAAACCAGCCTGAGCAAGAGCAAGACCCCGTCTCTACTATAAATAGAAAGAAATTAATTGGCCAACTGATATGTACATAAAAAAATTAGCCGGGGATGGTGGCACATGCCTGTAGTCCCAGCTACTCGGGAGGCTGAGGCAGCAGGATCACTTGAGCCCAGGAGTTTGAAGTTGCTGTGAGCTAGGCTGACGCCATGGCACTCACTCTAGCCTGGACAACAAAGTGAGACTCTGTCTCAAAAAAAAAAAAAAATCCTTCGGACAACACCAGCAGAATATACGATCCAAACCAAGATAAAGCAGGACTATTGGGGCTTTAGACACATCTCGATCCCTATCCCTCAACACACGCCCAGATTTATTCCTTGTTTGTAATTCTGTGGGCAGAGTACTACACATACAACATTCAGATGTCTTCTACTCTAGGGACTCTGTTCTGCCTCTACCATCTTAGGTTACACTATAATTGGCTGTGTGTATGTGACCTCTACTCCACTAAATGGCACGCACCCTGAGCTCATTGTTGTCCTGCAGAACCAAGCAAAGTGCAAAATTTTACCGAGTAAGTTAATATAACATATTCTGTGACCCATAGAAAGTCACCATGATAGCATCTGAACAACACTCAGAAGAACACAGAAATCATACTTACTCTGCGGCAATAAATCCATGTTGTGGTGTGACTGTAAGACAATGTGCTGGCCAACACAGCTCAAATTTCAGTAACCTAGCAGAATGATTTACAATCTGGAAACATGTAGTTTTTGCCATGTCGCCTGTTGTATCAGAAAAATAAAATGTTATTTACATTTAGCAACAGTGAAAAACACAAATGTTAACAAATGATAAAAATGAACCCTAAATAAATACACTAGTATGCTAATTTATGTTACTCTCTCAATTGCTCAATTATAGGAATTTCAAATCCCTGGTAAAACAAGTCCATTGGTTTACTATGGGAAACTACAAAGATACTGACAATCTCGAACAAAGTTAGGGAAAAAATGGGAATCTGGAAATCATTACCACCTGGCCTTAACTTTGGCACATATGTATGTATCAGATTGGCTCCAACCCTGAACCAACTCTATCAGTGTTAAGGGTACTAAGAGGCCAGATGTTGAATGAGCTCTCTGGGACCCTGGCTGGGTGAGCTCCGCGGTGGGGGAAGCAGGCCCTAGGCAAGGCACAAGTCCATGTGATTTCCACCGGAGCTGCAGGATAAGAGGGAGCACTCCTGGACCCCAGTGCATAGTCTGCGGTGTCGCTGTCAATATACTCACAAGGAGAAGGAGCTACCAAAATCAGGTGTTCAGGCTGGATGGTCCACATCTCTCCAGAGGCTGATTTATCCTGAGGTGGGTGAGCGGCTTGTGAAAAAAGAGAACCTTGAGGACCTCTAACCGGTAAAACATCCAAAGAGACATTGCCACTATGTTTTCCAGAAGTTCCTAAGTCACTAGAAATTATTTTAAAATGGAAGTCAGACAGAAACAGAGAAGAGAAGTTAAAAATGATAATAGTTCAGACTGTGTCATGTTTTTATATTAATTTTTCATAAATCTAAAAACATGAAGATAAAATTAGAAGTGCATTATATACCATGTATTTTCAGTGAATAAAAATCCTTCATGTTGCGTATACTTAAAAGAGTGTATAAAATGTACAGTATAGGTCAAATAGTATAATAAACTTTAATTAAGTGTAAGAAAATACAAGTGATATAAACATTTTGAGACAAAATAATAATAAAGTACAGGGGAAAAACATGAACTGTACTAAGAATCAAATAATCTTGAGATCTGGTGAAAGATTTTTGTTTATTCAACTTACCTTTTAGATTCTAAACTAGCTTTGGAAGAAAACTGAAGAAATTCTCTGCTAGAAATGCAATCTCTGAATTCTCCAATTACTGAAAGAATAATTTTACACATGTTTCCATAAAAAAGCTGAACATCAGTCGGCCGCTGGGGAAGATCATACACTGAAATAGAAAATAATGTTCTGAAATACATGAATCTTCACATAAGCATACCACCAAGTAACAGATATATTTATATATTTATAGCCACAGAATATTATTTTCTCAGGTTGGGCTAAGGGACATTTGATTATTAGCACTACTGACTGGCATGAAATTATAGGCAGTTCAGCATCTGTGGTTGGCAGGTCAGGCTCTGAGCCTGAATTTGGGCCCCCCTGCCACTCATTAGCGCTGTCACCTTTGGCAAATTCCTTAACCTCTCTGAGCTTTAGTTTCCTCAACTACAGCATAGAGTAACAATCTACACTATCTCAGGGGTTGTTGTGAGCATTAAAACAAGAATGTTTTTCAAGATATATATAACAACAAACATTTATATAAAGTTAACTGTGGGCCAGGCACTATTCTAATCCCTTTATATATATTCATTTAATTTTCAGAACTCTTTGAGGCAAATACTATTATCTCCACTTCAAAGATAAAGAATCTGAAAAACAAAGAGGTTAAGGGTACACACTTTATGAGTGACAGTCTCATAGACATTCAACTTAAGCAAATCTAGAAACCAGGCACTATTAATATAATTATTTCTAGATTAATAGTTCCCAGGTGACATTTTTAGATTAGGCCACACCCAAATTTGTGTATATATGATACTTTATAGACTATCTTGTATTCTACATAAAAATTAGATAATCTTTAAGTATCATATTTTTCAAGGGGAATTTTAAAAGAACACCATAACTGTACATTGAAATTTATATTAATTTATCTAAGACATCTAACAATAAAAATTTAATTCAACTGTGAAAATACTGTCACAAATTACACATTTTGCCAAAGATCATTACAAACACATGTAATAGTAACACACTCAAGCAAATGCTATTCAAAATAATCACCTAAAAAGTTCAACTATGACACTCTCATAGGTGATCTATGATACTAACCAACACAAAGAAAGTGGGATTGTTTCCTCTATTCACCGGTACAATAATTATACCATCTCAAGGAATCCTGAGATGAAATTCAGTCCCAACTCAACCCCATCTTAGAGGGGTAATCTTGGCAGGGTATTTGAGTTCCTGGTTGGCTTTGTCAGTACAACCCTTAATATGATATATTTCTTAAATTTTTGGACATGCAGTTCCCTCCATCTGGAAGATTCTTCCCCACCCTGGTCCTATCTTCTCTACCTTGTCAACTCCTCCCCTTTCTTCAAATCTAGCTCAATAGTCATCTTATTCTAAATGAGGTGCCCTTTCTCTGTGCCTTCCCAGATTCCTACATAGCTCTATCATGGCCCTTTCCATACCACACCTTAATCATCTATCTTCCCCTTAGTCAGTAAGCCCCTCACAGATAAGGACAGCATCCTGTGCCCATAAATCCCAGTGTCTACATACCAACAGGCACCTTGTCCCCTCAGCATGCATCCATCAATCAATGAAGGGTCTGTTGCTGAATCATGGAACTATGCCAACCTTTAAACCACTGAAAATTCTTGCTACCGATTTTTTTTTTTTTTGAGACAGAGTCTCGCTTGTTGCCCAGGCTATAGTGAGTGCCGTGGCGTCAGCCTAGCTCACAGCAACCTCAAACTCCTGGGCTCAAGTAATCCTTCTGCCTCAGCCTCCCGAGTAGCTGGGACTACAGGCATGTGCCACCATGCCCGGCTAATTTATATATATATAAATTTCTTCTATTTATAGTAGAGACGGGGTCTCGCTCTTGCTCAGGCTGGTTTCGAACTCCTGACCTCGAGCAATCCGCCCGCCTCGGCCTCCCAGAGTGCTAGGATTACAGGCGTGAGCCACCACGCCCGGCCCCTTGCTACCGATTTTTAATCACAGTCTTCACCACAGTTGCAATGAGTTACTGTTAGTGTTCCATCTCCATAGCATACTTCAGTCTAACTTTTATTTAGATCCTTCCTATGAGGAAGAGGTGAGGGGCTGTGGTGGTGGAGATGGGTCTTGAACTGAGTTTAACTCTGAATCTAAGGTTCTTTCCCTTGCTCTGCTCCCTTAATGCACTGCTGACAAGTCCATTCCAAGTCTGCTCATCATTTTCAACTAGCCCATCTCTGCCTTCCCTTTGAGCAGATGATCTAGACTGCTAATTTACTGGAAAGATTACAGATTACTCTACATCACCCCTAACAAGGCATAAATACTCTTTCCTTTATCATTTTAGAAGCAAAATATATAAGAACTAGTAAATAAAAATAGGAACAACAAACTACCACCTGAAATTCTACCACTAAAACACAGCCACTTAATATTTTGATGTATATACTCCCACGATTTTACTTATATAAGTACATATATATAAATTATTTTTACCAAATGAGATTTTACTATACAAACTTTTAAAACATTTTTGTAATAAATAAAGAGCTTTCCATGTCATTTAGTATGTGGATTCATATCATTGTTCTAATGGCTTCAAAATATTTTATTGCATAATTTAACAACCCCCTATTCTTGGGCATTAAAGTTACTTCTAACTTCTTGTTATTATAAACAATACTGTGGAGAAAATCTGTACACATATTTTTATATTTACATAATTTGTATATCTCCATACATATTTTATATGAATAAAAATTCTTAAATATTTGAGCCATGTAGCTCAATTAAGGACAATCATTTAGGTTAGTCACTTCATTACTATTTATTTTGGATTGTTCTACCACGATCACAACCCTATATAAATCTTACAATAGCACAGAAACTTCAGTTTGAGTGTAAGTCTACAATCAAATCTTAAATAGTGTTAATTTTTTTTTTTTTTTTTTTGAGACAGGGTCTTGTTCTGATGCCTAGGCTAGAGTGCAGTGGCGTCATCATAGCTCACTGCAGCCTCCACAACTTCTGGGCTCAAGCAATCCTCCTGACTCAGCCTCCCGAGGAGCTAGAACTACAGGCAAATACCACCACACCCAGCTAATTTTTAAATTTTTTTGGAGAGATGGGGGTCTCACTCTTGCCTAAGCTAGTCTCAAACTCCTGCCCTCAAGTGATTCTCTTCCCTGGGCCTCCCAAAGGGCAAGGATTATAGATGTGAGCCACTGTGCCCACTCTAATTTGAATTTAATGATGACCATTCTCTTCTTTATAAGCCTACTCAGAGACTAAACATAGTAAAATATTACTAACATCTAACATTTATATAGCAAAGCCTTTTCATCTGATCCTCACAAAAACTCTGTATGTATAAGAAGCTAGATATCATTCTTCTTCCCATTTTACAGACAAGGAAACTGAATTACAGTGACATAATTTGTTCAAATTCATATAGCAGACCTGTGGCTCAAACGGCCTGCCATCATACCCAAACTTAACACTGTTCCTTCTTATGTTATATCCCTGGACCTAGATAATACTATAAATGACCCAAAAGATTTAAGACATGAAGACATGTTGAAATTCTTACCTTCAGTTACTAGTAGTTCATCTTGAAATGCTTCAGCAAAATTAATAGTTTGTAGCACACTATGTTCTGGAAGTATCTGTTTTATAATCCCTGGTTTATGCAACAGGGCTCTGCCAGGAGAGGTTTTTATTCAAAAGTGATTTTAAATATAAAATGACTTTAATTAGATTTTCATTCATACATCTGGCAAATCCCACTAACAGCATGATAAAGTAATACACAGATCTCATATCTAAAAGAAAACTTGTTTTGGAAGTTCCCTTAAAAATTACATATGATAGTAATGTCACCAGTTTTAGTTAAATATTAACATCAAAACAACAACTTCCTAATACAAAAGTAGAAAGAAGAGTAAAGTCAGATTTTTTTTTTCAGGTCTGACATTTTCAATATTTGTGATAACTTGGTCATACTTAGAAATTTGTCTCTGAAAAAAAAAGAACATGCTAAAAAATGGTATCAGAGACAAATATTTAAATTACCATATGTTTATCTGGCCTCTTCCAGATAATTTTTTTGAAGTGAGAAAATGGAAATGTAAATTTCTCTATAATACTCAGATGTCCACAAAGAAAAATCTAATGACTGTAATGTTACAGCAAAGAAGAGTTTTAAAACAATACACTGATTTCTATATCCAAAGAAAAACATCGAAATACATGGTTATCTCATTTCCCCAAATGTCAGTTATTTCTGAAATATTTAATTAAGAAACAAAACCAGGTTCAAAGTTGAGCTCTTCATATTTGGTCTGTTCTAACATCATGTAGCAAGTCACCATTATACTCCCCCTTTTTGAAAAATTCCAATGGCCTTCAACAAATTAAGAAGAAAACTAGTTACCAATTTTGGTATCAGAATAAAACACAGCAGAGCATGAAGAGTCAGAAGAAGGAAAGAGTGATGTATTCATCTATACCTTTTCTAATTATTTCCTACTGACACATGAAATGTCATGAGCTTCACTTATATTTAGGTCTTCTAATCTAGGAAACCAAACTTTATAATAAAAGAATCCAGAATTCAACACACAAGAACTTATGTTTAAATCATACCTAAACCTAAATCAATACCCTAAATTTGCCAACAGTTCAGCATATTAAACTAAATTTAAATTAGATATATCAGATTTTATAGAAGTATATGCTTTAAGTAGCTATAAGATATACATCTTATACATTTCTAAAATACTACTTGATCCTATCAAATAATTCACAGTATTCCCAGAAATATTCTAAATTATGCAGGTCTGTTGATATACTATAATCTTTCAATAGTTCTAAACCAATCTACTGTTCCTTGATAATACTCTTGAGAGTACATTATGAACATGGTCCTGTTATGAAATAGGATGTTCCTACTGAGGAAAGGAAAAGAGGCACAATACAGATGTCTGGAAAAGGGAATACAGATGAGTTTCCTATAGGTATTTCTTCCACACATTATGGTAGCTTATCAGCCACACAAATTTTACCAAGGTTTTCTTCTACCAGTTCACTAACAGTGAAACATGTTCTAAAAATTCCAAACCCCAAACCACTTAAACCCTCATTATTTCTACTGAATAATTCCCCACATTGTCTAAGAAAAGCAATCTACCTTCGATACTGCTGTCTTGAGATTTCATCTCCACCAAAGAAGTATACAGTTGACAGTTCTGTTGCAGTTTTACAATTACTCTCTCTGTCTGATGGATTATATATTAAAGTAACATCCTGATGCCAAGGAAAAAAATCAAGATTAAATATTAAGTATTTTTCTTGAGTAAGTCATTTCATTCTGAATAAAATATTATGAGGCTAAACATTCAATAAAGACACAAGTGCATATGTATGGCACTTCCAACAAGACCTAGATAAGCACTTCCCCTTTTACATTACTTTTAAATATCGTTTTAGCTTTTGGCCAAAAAATACATAATTATTAATCCGATCTAAAAATGATTCCTGTTTTTAGTGCAGAGACTTTTACACTTACTTCTTGTGTTCTTTCCTTGAGCACAAATTTTTCTGGAAAAATCCTCAATATTTTAGGATCCAGCAAAACCTTTTTCTGAGAATCCTTAAAACCTACTGCTTTAACAAAAGCTGCTCGAGAGCCAGTGTTGCGGACAGAAAAAACAATTCTACTTTCTTTGCCAGGTATTAAGTCATTCGCTGTTATCATGTAACTGTCAGATAATTTTTTAACACCTTCCAAAATAAGATTACTTGTTCCTCCATATCCAGACAAAGGTATCTGAAAGAATACATACATCCAAAATTATTTTTAAGTAAGTAGAAAGCAGAAAATTGAATTAACAGTCAGAAGAAAATACAGAAAGATTTAATACAATTAAAAATGTTAGGCCGGGCGTGGTGGCTCACACCTGTAATCCTAGCACTCTGGGAGACCGAGAAGGGTGGATTGCTCGAGGTCAGGAGTTCGAAACCAGCCTGAGCAAGAGTGAGACCCCGTCTCTACTATAAATAGAAAGAAATTAATTGGCCAACTAATATATACAGAAAAAATTAGCTGGGCACTCACTCTTGCCTGGGCAACAAAGTGAGACTCTGTCTCAAAAAACAAAAAAAAAAATGTTATTGTTTGTATACTTTGGCTAGTAGTTACCCCACATCCAGTCCAGCATTATATTAAGAACTTGATCTTAAAGGAAAAACACACCAAAGAGCTACAAAAAACTATTTGGCTTCTGATAATGCTATGATTATTTCACTGTCATAAAAGCCCAGCTTAGATGACAGAGAAACAATAGTAAAAAGATTAGTCTAAATATGCTTGGCTTAGGAAGTTTTCAGGGTGAAATATACTGAAGTTTGTAATTCTTTTTGAAATGCATTTAAAAAAACCCAGATGAACTGATGGATGGTCAGATATGAGGGAAAAGAAATATAGCAAAATGTTAATTAATTGTAGAATCTAAGCGACAGGATATGTGGGTGTTTATTATATAATTCCTTCAACTTCTCAGTAATTCTGAAAATTTTCATAATAAAATGTTTTGGGAGAAAAATCTATTATCATAAAATCTTCTTCGTGTTTGGTCTAGCCAGTGTCAGATGGAAGCATGTAAAAGGGACTAAACTGATGACAAGAACCCTGACAACTCTTCAAGGACAGATACACTGGCAACTGGGGGAGCAACAGACTTGACCAGGTGTTGGGATACCATCTGCTCCTGCTTCCCCAGGGCTCAAAGGAAACAAAGGTGCATGGAATATATCCCATAAATAACAATGTAAGGAAAATACTCACCCTGCTAGAAAAGAAACTCTCCATATTCTTTAAAATGTGTATCTTTAAAAATTATCTTTCGATCCTAATTACAGTTTGAGTATTCCTTATTTGAAATGCCTAAGACCAGAAGCATTTCAAATTTTGAAATATTTGCATCATACCAGTTGAGTATCCCTAATCAAAAAATCTAAAATCCAAAATGCTCCAATGATCATTTGCTTTCAGCATCATGTGAGCACTCAGGAAGTTTCTGATTTTGGAGCATTTTCAATTTCCTTGTCAAGCCCTTTTGTAAAGGCACTAATCCATTAATGAGGGTAGAGCCCTCATGACCTAAACATCTCCCAAAATGCCCCACCCTCCCAGCGCTATGGCATTAAAGAGTAAGTTTTCAATACATGAATTTTGGGGACACATTCAGACCACAGTACCCACACAATGATTCTTTTTCTTTTTTCTTTTTTTTTTGAGACAGAGTCTCACTCTGTTGCCCAGGCTAGAGTGCTGTGGTGTCAGCCTAGCTGACAGCAACCTCAAACTCCTGGGCTCGAGCGATCCTCCTGCCTCAGCCTCCCAAGTAGCTGGGACCACAGGCATGCACCACCATGCCCAGCTAATTTTTTCTACATATTTTTAGTTAGCCAATTAATTTCTTTCTATTTTTAGTAGAGACAGGGTCTTGCTCTTGCTTGGGCTGGTTTCGAACTCCTAACTTTCAGTGATCCGCCCACCTCGGCCTCCCAGAGTGCTACGATCACAGGCGTGAGCCACCGTGCCGGGCCCACACAATGATTATTAAGGATAGTGCCTGGCACAAACTCAACATGCAACAAATAAAAATTTATTTATTCTTGTCGTCTCATCATGCCTTATGGTATTCAAAGCACTTCATTTGTTCCTCACAAGCAGATTTGGAAGATGGGTTGGCAAGTAACTGCATTTCACAGATGAGAGAAGGAAGTGACTTATCCAAGGTGGGTATAACAGAGAAAGGGCTTGCTCCCTGGACTCTCTTATCCCCAGTGTTAGGTGCTCTGCCACCACATGACCACGCTACTTTATCCTTTCAAAGACAGCAATCTTAACAGTCTGAGTCTTCTGGTGAACTAAAAGCCACATTCATCTATGACTGACAGACAAACCCCATTCTACCCACATCTGTGAGAGGATGGGGTGGCCATCTACATAGGAAGGAATCCCCCTAAGATCCTGGTTTGACTTAAGAAAATGTCAAACCTGAAATTTTTCTTGGTTGGTTGTCAAATCAAATAGTTCTGCCCTAAATCACCACAGAGTTAGCTGTTCTCTTGAGATTCTTCCTTAAAAATAACCTGAAAATTTTGGCTGGCAAACCTGACACTAATCAGAATATATTCAGGAAGTCTGAAAGATGCAGCCCATTTAGTTCTCTCCACAAACCAAGCTTTATCCTTACATGAAACCAGATCATCAGAGAGCTGCGCACCCACGTGCACTAGTACTTTGGCATTATATCCTGGGCTCACACATAAAGATGCCAGCTGTAAAAATGATTCCTAATATCTTTAAACAATTTGTCCATCATAGTTCATGGGGCCAACTGCATGATTCCACACAAAATATGTCAAGCTCCAGCGTCAAATAAAGCTATCTTTACCACAAATATCTAAGTTTTAAAATTTTTTTATATTGTTAATCTTTTAACTTATCACATTCCCCCTTTGACACTAGGAAATAGAACCAAAATTTTAGTCAAACCCCACTGCCAAACAGCTATGTACTTTTATGTAGCTTCCATTTTGTTAGATCTACCTTGCCCTTACCTCCTCCTTTCCTCAGTGATTTACTATTTTTATCTCTAATTGTTCTGGACACATCCACATACATGATTTCAAATCCTTTTTAAAAATTATGGTGGCAATAAAAAATATATATCAAAACTCTTGACTTTCTATCCCTAGCATCTAGGACAGAGTCCAGTGAATTTTGTCAGTAGATATTTGATACGGGTTTTAATGTTGGTGTCCTTCCAAAATTCTTACGTTGAAGCCTAATCCCTAATGCGACAGCATTAAGAGGTGGAGCTTTTGGGGAAGTGATTAAGTCAGGAGGGCTCTGCCTTCATGAATGGGATTGCTGCCCTCACAAAAGAGGTTGAGAGCAATGCTCTTGTCCCTTCCCACTGCATGAGAGCACAGAGAGCAGCCCGCACAGATGATCATCTGCTAGTGTCTTGATCTTGGACTTCCGAACCTTGAGATCCATGAGCAATAAATCTGTGATTATAAATTACCCAGTCTGTAGCAGGAAACTGAACAACTAAGACAGTATTTTTTGCCGAACTGGAAGAATAAAATTTATTTGAAAAATCAACATCTTGCCGGGCGCGGTGGCTAAGACCTATAATCCTAGCACTCTGGGAGGCTGAGGCAGGCAGATTGCTCAAGGTCAGGAGTTCGAAACCAGTCTGAGCAAGAGTGGGGGGGGGAATCTCTACTAAAAATAAAAATTAATTGGCCGGGCGCTGTGGCTCACGCCTGTAATCCTAGCTCTTGGGAGGCCGAGGCGGGCGGATTGCTCAAGGTCAGGAGTTCAAAACCAGCCTGAGCAAGAGCGAGACCCCGTCTCTACTATAAATAGAAAGAAATCAATTGGCCAACTGACATATATATAAAAAAATTAGCCGGGCATGGTGGCACATGCCTGTAGTCCCAGCTACCAGGGAGGCTGAGGCAGAAGGATCGCTCGAGCCCAGGAGTTTGAGGTTGCTGTGAGCTAGGCTGACGCCACGGCACTCACTCTAGCCTGGGCAACAAAGCGAGACTCTGTCTCAAAAAAAAAAAAAAAAAACCAACTAAAATTATATATACAAAAAAAATTAGCTGGGTATGGTGGAGCATGCCTGTAGTCCCAGCTACTCGGGAGGCTGAAGCAGTAGGATCGCTTGAGCCCAGCAGATTGAGGTTGCTGTGAGCTAGGCTGATGCCATGGCACAAACTCTAACCTAGGCAACAAAGTGAGACTCTGTCTTAAAAAAAAAAAGAAAAGTCAACATCTTAAATAGCTCCATCTGGATTTACCCAAAGACGTGTTCCTGGAAAGGTGGGTCCATTTCAAAATTCTCAAACTAAAATGAAACTTAAAAGCACTGGAAGAGATTGTTAATTACAGGACTACTACTATGGCTGCTTTTATAACTTGAGAATTATACAAAGGATATAATTACTCCCTAACTTATTTATAAGCAGACAATCATATATATTCACTTATAAAAAGCAGAGTATAGGGGAGGGAATCAAGATGACGGACGAGAAACACCACCAGACAGAGTAGCTCTGCAGAAAACACAGATTCCAGCAGAAATTAGAAGAAGCAAGAAGACGAGCCTACATCAGATGAGGGTCGGAAGGAGGAGTACTTGAGACAACGGGAGACTCCACAGGAGGAGGTCGCGGAGGAGAACTGGCAGCTGGGACCGCTGGAGCAGCCCGGAGACCAGTGGGAAGGGTAGGTGAATCGGCTGTTTCACCTCCCATGCATCTTGGACTGCTGGTGGGCTCCCTAATGGGTAAAGAGCCCTGTGGACACCAGCCCAGCGCCGGCCGCTGCCAGTGAGCGGTAAGCCAGTAGCAGACCCAGCACCAGGCTTCCAAATCCCTCTGGGCAGCTCCGTGTACACAGACCCGAGCCACGCGGCAGACATGATATTGCTTCCTTCTCCCCTCTCCCGACCCTACCCGCACGGTTGCCCAGAGAGACAATACAGCCACCAGCCGGAAGCAACTACAGGGAACAGGACCTTCCCTTTTGGGGCCCTACAGATGACTAAGGGGAACTCAGACTATGAGCTCTCTACCCGCCAGCCCTCCCAGGTGCTGCTGGCACGGTGAACGCAGGAGAATGGGGCAGACTCTGAGGTTGAGAGACATAGACCCAGCGTGGGCTCCCTGTGGGTGAATTGGGACTGGCACTCCTCTCCCTGATGGGGATACAGTTTAAATTCTGGGGCCCAGAGGTCAGAC